AAGGAAGAGGATACTCTGGTAAGATGGGAAAGGAAAATATTGAGATGCATATTCAGAGGACGAAAGGCAGAAGATGGTTGGGAGAGAAGAACCAACAATGAATTAATGGCTTTATACAAAGAACCTACTATTACCAAGTTCGTCAAGGCACAAAGAATCAGATGGTTGGGACATGTGGAAAGAATGGCAGCAAACAGAATTCCTAAACTAGTAATAACCAGAAAATTAATCGACCCCAAAAGAAGAGGTAGACCCAGAACGAGGTGGATTAGTAAAGCGGAGGAAGACCTTAAACACGTAAAGGTGAGGGAATCGAAAGAAAGCACAAAATAGAAGCGAATGGAAAAATATTGTACACCAGGTCCTTCAGAGTAGTTAAGAATGTTATATATAGATATTTACGTTAAAGTTTTGTTTAAAATAATTGTAATTAGTTAATATTAGAATTATGTTGTAAAAAAAAATGCACTAGGCCTTAACGGCCTGTTGTGCGTAAAAATAAATAAATAAATAATAGAGTGCAAAAATCGAAAGAATCGCGTTTTTTGCATTAATTGTTAATCATTAAAAAAACGGCTCCGAACTTTACGCAGGAAACAGGTAGGTTTTCTTCTTATAGGTCTACAATAACTAAAAAAGTTGTCAGCTACCTGGATTATTGAGTGTCACGAGAAAATCCTTATTAGCCTGGACTAATATGGCTGGACAAGCAAGTGAAGAAACAAACTTCATATATTATGTAAACTTTACTAACAAAAACGTTGAAAATAAATATTCCTATAAATATAAATAATCAAATTCCGTATTCAAATACTGCAAAATATTTGAGTTTTACTCTAAGCTTTTATGTAAAGAAGAAAAGAAAATAATAATTCTGATTGAAATACAAAAAAATGTACTGGCTGATTGACCAAAATTCTACGCTGTTTCTACATAATAAATTATTATTATATAAGCAAATACTGAAACAATAGTATTATTATAAAAACAGTATAAACATTTAGAAGGAAAATGTTACAAATTAACAGAAAATATTTCTATTCATATAAAAATTTAATCAAATTATAGGTACTTATTATAGGTACTGCTTATTTATATAAAATTTCCTCAATCGGAACATAAACTTCTTCGTGAACTACCCATTTTAAAAAACAATTAACACACTGGTTTGTCAAAAGTCGAAATCAACCCTAATAATGTTATTCAACATTATTTATGACCCACCTTCGAGTGGGTATTATACTTCTTACCTAACCAACCTAACCGTGTCGACGAGAATCCAGAAACTATCGACAAGGACAGCCTGTACTGGCCGAGAGAGAAAGTTACATTTAGCAAAATTTGAGATTTTAAAAAAAGTTTATACCAAATAGCTGCTTTGTGTTACACTTTATGTTAAAAATAAAAACAGATTCGGAAAGTGGGTCAAATTCTGTAGTGCCCTATTTCAAAAAAAAATTTTTTACGTTTATTTTAACCAAAAATATTTGAAAAAAAAAATTGTTTAAACAATTTATTAATTTACAACTAAATAGTGCACTAGAACTTTTTAAGACCTTTCATATAAAAAAAGAATCATCTCAATATCTGCCATAGTTTTTGCGTCATTTGATATAAACTTTTACATTGGAACTTAGGTATGCCCAGAAACGCAAGGAACGGCCTTAACAAAAAATACTGCTTAAAACTTGCGAGAAATAACTCACATAAAAAAGAATTTAAGTGCGCTAAATAATTTATATATCTCCAACAAGCAAGCAAGCAATTTGATTAAACCCAGCCTATGAGAAATGTTCACCCCTAAGTATTACGATCGGGTGTAACAATTCATTGGAGCAAGGTGTGTTAACTCGAGTATAAACAGGAGTGACCCCACCGTGCTCCGATGCTCTAGACCATCCGTTTCCCCCCTATAGCACTCTGATGCGCTATAGAGGCACAACAATCAGCCAAATGCTCTTCATGTGGATGTCCTAGGTAATAAAACCCCAACATGGTTTCCTAATCGAATGCAAAACTCAGGAGAGCGCATCTTCGCTATATTCCTCTTATCTTATGGTGGCTTATCCGCGAACTAAAATTGCTTACTTGGGTCTCAAGTCCCCGGTCTGAGTCCGCGCTCAGTTCGGCGACTTGGTGCTCAAGGGGTTGGGCCCTACGTGCCCGGGTTTTGGGAGTTTTGTTAATTATTTTGGTGGCCGAAGCCGGTTTTTGTTAGTAAGTTTTTTGGTGGCCGAAACCGGTTTTTTGTGTTTTTTGTGATTCTTTTTGTATATCTCCAACAATCTTGCAGATTTAATTTTAATTCAGATATTCACACAAAAACTAGATTTTATTATAAAACAATACTTTGAATCCGAAGGAGATACTTCCTTACTTTCTTCGAAAGAGATACTAAACGAACTTACTACACCTACAATAGATGAGTGTTTTTATTTTAATTAAGAAGAAATGTAAGATATTGGAAAATTTGATCTTTGAAAAAAAAAACAATTTATAAATCAAAACCGTCTCTTCATACTTCTGTAAGTAATAGAAATATACCTTTTAAATATTTCGTATGCAATTCTAACTCACAAAAAGTATACTCTTGCCGACAATTTTTAAATTTGTCCGCTCAAGAGCGTATACAAAAAGTAAAAAACAAAGGTTTTTGTCTCAATTTCCTTGCTAGTGGTCATATATCTAATTCTTGTTGCTCGTCTATGAATTGCAAAACCTGCAATAAAAGACATCACTCTTTGCTTCACATTTCGCATACGTCGCAAAATACGGCAAAGTTCGTATAGGTCGAATTCTGAAAGTTAACCCGCCAAAAATCAATTTGTTCGTAATTGACGTCATTAACGTCCAAATCAGCATTCGTCTCAATCTGCTTCGGAGAATATTCAAGCAAATTCGCAGAACTACTCTGTTTCAAATGCAATTTCGCAATGTTTACTAGACACGCAAAATCTTTCAGTCCGAGCAATATTTCGTCCCACTCTTTTATTTTTAATCCTTTTGGTCTAATAAATAAAGTTATAAAATTGAATCCATTTATAGACGCATCTGATTTAATAAGAGTTGGTGGACGACTTCGCAACGCAAATGTTTCGTATAATCAAAAATTTCCACTTTTTCTTCCTACAAAATTCCAGATAGTTAGATCGTTGCTTGAAAGAGATCACATTTGCCTATTGCACACAGTCCCTCAAAATGCATTGTCAAATATTAGACTCACTTATTGGCAATGCAAATGTTTCGTTTAATAAAAAATTTCCACTTCTTCTTCCTACATAATGCCAGGTAGGTAGATCGTTGCTTGAAAGAGATCACATTTGCCTATTGCACACAGTCCCTCAAAATGCATTGTCAAATATTAGACTCACTTATTGGCAATACAAATAATTCGTGTAATAAAAAATTTCCACTTCTTCTTCCTACATAATGCCAGGTAGGTAGATCGTTGCTTGAAAGAGATCACATTCGCCTATTGCACACAGTCCCTCAAAATATAGTGTCAAATATTAGACTTACTTAATCGCCTCCAAAATACGCCCAAATGTTGTACTCCTAATCGATGATAACGCTCCTCTTATAAAATGGCCACTGGCAAGAGTAATCCAAACATTGCCAGGTAAAGACGGCAGGGTTAGAATTGTAAAACTAAGAACTAAAGACGGAACATTCATAAGATCTGTTGTTAAAGTATGTCCTTTACCTCATACTTATTTAGATGTAGGTTATATCAACGGGGTGACTATGTTGCGTAACAACAATATTTAATATTTTTATTTAATTTTGTATAATATTACTATATCATACAGTATATTAGTTTAGATTTATAAAATTACTTTGTACCAAGTAATAATCTGTAGGGAGCCGATAGCTTGTTTTCAAATATCTTTCTAGACTAGACATAAGCTTCTAAAACCTTCAAAGAATCTAACAATGAAAGGATTAGTATTTTCCAAATTATCGGTTTGACTTAGGTAGTTATTACCAATGAATTGAAAGTCGAAGGCATTTGAAATGTTAACATATCCTTTAATTACGTCGAGGGGTTCAGGGGAGATATTTCTGAATGTTTAGAACAATTACGAGCGTATTGATTGAAGGGAGAGAGTGGACATCAGTTCGCACTTTAAATCAGTATCAGTTCAAAATCTAGCATTGATATGAAGTATAAAAAGTGAATCTATTTTCCTAACGAAAATCCTTGTTCCCCAAGGGAAAAAACCAGCGACTTATGACTGGTGCGCGAAACATCAGGACAAGGTGTAAGGACAAACACACTTGCATCTTCGCTCAGCATAGTAAGCAACTATTAAATATATTAACGGAGACATACATACAATATATATATATATATATATATATATATATATATATATATATATATATATATATATATATATAATATTTATGGCTCTATCGATATAATTTAATAGTTACTCTTACTACTATTGTACTACTTACTTCTAAATTAATGTTCTACTATAAAGTCATTACATTTGTCTTTTCTTATTTCCCTTTTTTAGTATTCGATAAAAACTAGTATATTTAGCTTATAATGACTGTTTTCATAATTTACTTTATTAATACCGCCAAAGCTTTGTAAAGGAAATCTTTATCCTGACTAAAACAGCTTATTAAAAGCAATATTTTAAATTCTAGGAACAGCGTGTCATTCACCAACTTCTATTTAATAATTCAAAGCTGCAGTAAGTGCAGCTTGCTTTATTAAGCTTAAAACGCAGACTCTCTTATTAATAAACATGGACTAACCTTGGACTAACATTAGTCCCAGGACTATACCAATAATATTCATTTTTCGTATTAATAAACAGAGACTAAGGACAGACTAAGCTAAACCTTGGCTAGTCTCGGACTAACATTTAATCCGAGGTAGTGGCAGGTTTAGAGAGTGACTAACTTGACAATTGACATTAGGTGACATGAGTTTTGGTATTCATAACCTGAATTGTTTTTGATTATTATTATTTGATTATTTAATAATGGAAGATTATTTTATCAACGATTTAAGATTAATAGAACAACTTAATGACCATAGAAATCAGCGAAATAATATTCATCTAAGACATATTAAAATATATAAAATTAGAAAAAATCCTCTAGAAGAATTAGAAGAAAATGAATTTAAGTGCAAATATCGCTTTTCAAAAGCTACAGCAGTTTTTATAATAGATATGCTTAGAGATGATTTATCTGGTGATTCTAGAGGTGGACATATACCTCCTCATTTAAAAGTTTTGTCTGCAATAAGAACTTGGGCCCGTGGAGAAGTAAGTGAAATTTTTATTAAAATTATTAATAAAAGTATATCTATATTACATCTAGTATTGTTAACTTTTAGTTCTAAATATTTATTAGTTACACTATAAGCTCAGCAAAATTTAATTTCTAAATTGACTGATTACATTTTAATTTCAACAGATTCAAGATGATGCTGGAGATATTAGTGGTATAAGTCAGCCAGCAGTTTCCATTGTTTGTAAACAAGTGGCTTTAGCTCTGGTACAGCATAGAGCTCGTTGGATTAAAATGCCAGAAAATGATTTGGAACAAAATGCCACAATTGCAGGTTTTTATGCAATATGTGGATTTAGGCAAGTAATCGGAGCTATTGATTGCACTCATATAAGAATACCAAAAGTTAGTGGAAACATTGGACAATATTACATAAATAGAAAAGGATATAGTTCAATAAATGTACAAGTAAGTTAAGAATAATTCTATGCTAATTTGGTCACTTACTAAATTTATTGTATATGTCAAAACATAAGTCACCTTCTGGGCTTATATACAATAATTTTAGCAAAAAAAACAACAAGAAAGTTTCAAAACCACTTGCTGAATGTCTAAAATTTATATATTTTTAAAATATACAAAACCCTGTAGATGTTCGGTGTGGTTTTATTTCTAAATCTAAAAACTGTTTCACTGTGACATATATAAAGTCACAAACAGCTGTGACAAGTTATAAATAGAATGCTAGTGAAAATCCAGAAATTTGTATTTTTTAATTTATTTCAAAGATAATATGACTGGAATTACTGAGCTGTTTCATTCACTTATTTACTAGTATGTAATACTATTTTACTCTATTTCAAGACATAAATGTTTGTTTTCTTTTAGGTTGTGTCCAATGCAAATTTGGAAATTATGGACATAGTAGCTCACTGGAGAGGCAGCACTCATGACTCCAGAATATTTAATGAGTGTAGTTTAAAACGTAGGTATGAGCAATCTGAGTTCAAAGGCAGATTATTAGGAGATTCAGGCTATGCCTGCACATCTTATTTATTTACTCCTGTCTTAAATCCACGGACAGAAAGAGAAGAACGCTACAACAGGGCACATATAAGAACCCGCAACTCAGTGGAACGGTGTTTTGGTGTGTGGAAACAAAGATTTAGATGTTTATTACATGGGTTTACCACCAAATTAGAAAATACAAAATTATATATTGTAGCATTGGCAATACTTCACAATATTGCCATTTACAAAGTTGATATGGTTGATGATATAGAACAATCAGGAAATGATGGTATGCCAGAAATACCTGCAATAAATAATACAATTAGAGGGAATGCAGCCCGAGCTGCGTTTATTAACGAAAATTTTTAAAAACAAAATTTATTTAATAAAATATTTTACAATTCATTATGTTTATTAGTATTTTTCATATTTTCCCTTTGTAATAAAATATTTTTTAAAGTTTCCTCCTGAACTTTTTTTTTGAGGCTATGTTCTTTTTCAACCATCCTATGCTCTCTTGCCATAATTCTCATGCGTCTCTTATGCTCAATTTCTAGAAACTCCATATATTTATTGTGCTCTTTTTCTTTTAGTTCAGTTGACAATTGAACCATACTTGCCACATATTCTTGATCCTGCAAATTATAATAATAGTTAAAATATGAATAAAAAGGAAAGATTTGGCAGTCAACTGTTACAATTTCAGCTTTATTTAAGGACCTAATACTACATGCATTAATAGTACATGACTTAGGGCCAGTTCTACAGTCCAGGTATAAATTGGAGAATAGTTATTCTGAGTATAACTCATTAAATCATCAACTGAGATTAGTGTTGTAATAACCAAAATTATGTAAATGTATCTCTATAGGTTCTCCACATTTTAAACAAGTATAAATATTGGATTACAAAATATATAATTTTAGTTAAAGAAATGTTTATATAATACAGATTCTAGAATTACAGTCTCTGTTATCAAAACATTAAAAAATTATTGCCTCAGTAAGATTATACCTATACAATAGTAGTCATATGAGTAGAGGTTATTACATTACATACATATCATAAAATTTTAGAATTGAAATAATAAATGCTTTCTTTGAACACAAATAATAAATGCTCTGAACACCATTAATGAAGTTATTCCAAGTATAAGTTTATTCTCAGTATATACTAGCATTGTAGAACCGGCCCTTAATACTACATGCACATAGAAGTTATCAGAAGTTATATAATTAAATACCTTTGATATAGCCTGAGATTTTGTAGCACCTTTTTTTAAATTACCTTTGGATATCTGGAAAAATAAAAGTTGATTAAAATACTGACTATGAGAACTAAGATAAGAATATATAAACATCATATATATATATATATATATATATATATATATATATATATATATATTATATATATATATATATATATTGGGCAACCATCAATTTAAATTTCAAAAGTATTCAGCTAGTGTATGCAGAGGTTTATTAGGTCATTTTAGTAGCAAAAACAAATAGCAGTCAGCTACTTCATTGATTTAATGAAAATGTTATCAATGGTAGGTTTATTTCTTAACCTTTGTCATCTTTTTTTGTAGTGAACTGATGAAGTCTTAGAAATATAAAGCAAAATGTTTTTATTAAATCAATGAAGTAGCTGTCTTCTATTTTTTTTTGCCAAATAAAATGACAGAATAAACCTTTGCATTCCCTAGCTGAATACTTTTGGAATACATACTGTTAATTAAAATTTTCCAAAGATGCTGTTTTTTATACCTACATACCTTCTTACTAATTTTGCGTTCTACGTTTTTAAAATTTTTCCTAATGGGAGTGGAGATGCACGGTATGTCCTTTCCTTTCGATGTGCTTGCCCCTTCATTAACAAACTAAAATAATAATATGTATTACATAAAGAAAACTTAATTATAATTAAATGAATATTTGTAAACTATTGTGCAAATATGGTCATTAACTCATTATTTAGCCCTGGCACATCAAATCAACTAACCTGTTTCATTTCTTTAATCTCCACATGTTCACTCTCCACCTCTGTAAATTCTTCACTCTCCATTGGTGACAATATATCATTCTCAAATATCTGTTAAAAGATGTTTTCATTAATCATATACATAATTAAAAAATTTAAATCTTTGATAAATCTACTGACCTTTAATTGGGTCTCCACTTCTTCACTAGTACTTGGTTCTTCATAAGTTGATAATTGTATTATCTGTGAAAAACAAAATTTATTGTAATGTATATAATAATACCTATTATATGAAAACTCACAGGGCCATCAGAATCATATACATTATGATCTCTCAACAATTCTGCAGGATTCATGATGTCCTTAATCTCCATCACTATCTCATCTGGAATTGTGGGTCCCTGTCCACCTCCTGTCTTTTTCTGCTCTCGAGTATAATCGCTGTAAACTTTGCGGGCATTCATTTTCATGTGTTTCCATTGGGTCTGCAATTGTCTTAAATCCCTAGGTCTGCTATTTAATTCATTGAACCTAAACAAAAACAAAGTTGGGGAACTGTTAATTAAATAAATATGAAATTTCTGTGTACTTTTTACAAAAATGTTTATATAGGTATTAATAATTAATAAAATTTTATTAGAACTTATAAAATATCTCACTTTTGATGAACTGCTTCCCATGCTTTTGTTTTTGATTTATTGGAGTTTGCATTTAAAGATTTCTCCTCTATGATGTGGGAATAGTCTCTCAAAATACTACGAAACAATTGCTGGAATATTACAAAAAAAAAACAATCAGAACTAGCAAAATTTCTAATATAAACTTTTAAGCAAATTACTTACCCTTTCTTCTTCATCCCAATTCATTGAACGAATACGTTTTGCTTTTTGTTCGGTCATTTTAAGTTAAAAAGTTTAAACTTTTCAGGTAAAACAAATAATATAAAATATAAACAAACTTTCTTACAACACAACACAGTCAAGTCAACTAAAATTAACCCCACGTGCTTCAACTTCAACTTATGCTAACTGTCAAATTCTCAAATATTTTTCTTCTTTTTCACAAACTTCACTCAATTTTTCTTCTTTTTCGCAATGGTTGCCAACGTAAACTTGTTGTACCTAGGACTAAGGAAGGTTTAGTTAGTCTGAGCTTAGTCCATGTTTATTAATAACATTCTGAAAATGAAGTTAGTCCTCGCTTAATCTGGGACTAACTAGTCCGAGACTAACTTCGGACTAAGCAATTTTTATTAATAAGACTGAGAGAGTCTAATTCAGAAAATGTCGAGTATTTTGAACATTGTGTTATTACTGAACGACAAAAATAAACACAAAATATTTAGTGAACGATATCTCCGTTAACTGTCAATAGTCAGTTTACTCTGTCTAAAGAGTAATTTTTTCTAAAATCAAATATTCAATAGGGCCATTTCAGCTTTGGTTTTTAGCTTTGTTATAGTTTTTAGTTTGAATTCTAATCAAAATTACTAAACCATAGGTAGGTATGTACAGAATAAATATATTTATCAGCGATGTTTAAGACATAACAGACATCAAGAATAATTTATAAAGGGTGTTTTTTAGGGGTACAAAAAAAACTTTAAAATTCAATAAAACAAAGATGATTTTTATAAGTTGACATGAAATTGACTTTATTCAAAAGATAATCTTTTGTCATTTTAATTTAAACTTGATTTCTGGCATATGGAAGAAATATCCGAACACACACAAATAATTGAGATAACAACCGAAGAGTTAAACGATGCCCTCAAAATATTGAAAAACGGTAAAGCAGCAGGACCTGGAGACATCCCAATTAAGTTGGTAAAGTATGGATCAAAAATATTACACGAGATGTTGGTTCAGCTATTTAACAAATGCTCAAAAGGACAAAATATCCACGATGATTGGAATATTGGATACATCAGCTCAATATTAAAAAAAGGGGAAAAACGCAAATACTCTAATTGTAGAATAATAGCTGTTATCAGCTCAGTGGGGAGGTTGTACGGTCGAATAATAAAAAAAGAATAGAATCAGAGTACTAAGAAATAGAAGAACAAAATGGATTTCGTGCAGGAAGATCGTGCACTGATGGTATATTTGTTCCGCA